TATAATAACAGGCAGATGAACACAATTTTTTTTTGCCAAAGTCCACAATCAGTTCACATGTTTTAGAAGTATTCAGCACCAAATTGTTTTGTTCACTCCACTGCACAACATGCTCCACCTCAGACTGATAATAAGTCGTCATTAGAGTTCACCAAACCAATAATAGTAGCATCATCTGCATATTTGATGATCATATTATTGGGATGGACAGCAACACAATGATAAGTGTACCAGATAAAAAGCAAAGGACTTAAAGTACAACCTTGTGGCAAACCCGTGCTCACAATCAGTTYGTTAGATAAACAGTTGTTAATTTTAACACTTTGTGGTCTGCAAGTCAAGAAGTTTAAAATACGTTTGCAAATAGTCACATAAACCAAGAGTTTGTGAATGAGTTGCACAGGTACAAGTGAATTAAAAACAGAACTGTAGTCTATGAAAAGTGTCCTAATGCAAATTTTTCCGTTATCCAAATGTCTATAGAGTTCAAAGCCAAAGAAATAGCATCTTCAACTATTCTCTTCTGGCTGTAGGTAAATTGGAAAGGATCCACAGACACTGGAATCTGAGTCTTGATGTAGTTCAATACCAGTCGCTCAAAAGTCTTCATTAMAACAGAGGTTAAGGCCACAGGCCGGTAGTCATTAAAACATGTCACAGGCGCGTTCTTAAGCACTGATACTATGTTAGACTTTGACCACACTTCTGAACAGCTGGAAAATATTAAGAAACATTATTTATCAAATCAAAATGCACCCCTAGTGTTGTCAGCTTCATGCTTTTGCAATACTAGGACTTCTGGGGAGTTTTTTTTCCAGAGATGAAAGTTCTAAAAAGGGTTAGGTGTAAATTTTTTAAAGTAACTATTTTTAAGAGAAATACTCCAAACTTATAAAAAAAACTGTGAGAAACACACCATGTGTTGCAACCGAGAAAGAAGAAGTGGCTTTGGGGGAAATTGGACAGGAAGATTAATTTCTTTTAATCTTCTAATCATCAGCTCACATCTCTGCACAGCTTCCTCTCCATTTTATTCTGCTAATTAAACGTCCAAAATCATATGCGTGCACGGTAATCATTGCTTTTTAATCAAGCAAATGGAAAGAGCTCAGTCAGTTTTTACTTAAGTAAAAAACGTGAAACAATCAAAACTTTAGGCAAAAACCCCACAGTGGACCCGTCTCCTTCCTGTTCCACTTCTGCTTTTTTTTTTGGTGTTTTCTTTGCTGTCTCATCTTTTATCTCCTAATGAGACTCATGTCAGCTGAGGTGATGTTTTTTTTTTTTTTTTACAATTTGAAATAAGCTGCAGAAACAAATAAAATTTTCAACTTTTATTAAAGTATAAGAACATTTTTAAGCCTGGGTGAATCAAAAGACAGWATGAGGGATTTTTTTTTAATCAATGATAAATATATTTTTTCCTGACAGTCAGAATTTAAAACAAGTCAAAACAGAAGCCAGTGTCTGAAGAATATTTTTCAAAAATTTAAAAAATAATGATTATGATAGTGATAATCATATTCAAATAATTTAGTAATGATATCAATTCAATCTAAACTCTTATGATGATGGATGACACAGAAAAATGTCTGTAAGTTGTACAGATATTTTACTGAAGATTGACGTGGTTGAGCTGAGAGTCATTCACATCACACTCAGCAGATCTTGTGACATCACATTAGATTGTGCCTGCTAGTGTTATTTTCAATAATTTGACGCACAACTCTATTATTTCTCAACACAAGTAAACCTCGGACCAATGAAAGGCGACAGGTGATGCACATTCTTTCAAGAAATGTTACGTCTTTAAGTTTCTTTTTACAGAAAGCATTTAAGATTTTACAATAAGTCACCAAATTCCAAGTTAACCCTGTGAATGGTGCTACTTTTAGTTTGACGGAACGAGTCATTTCCTGTCTTTCTACGTTAGTGTTTTCATTTTACTCCAGTGACTGGCCGGCATTTCCTTTTTCTGTCGCTACTAAACTCTTGCACTATATTAAAATGTTAAATGCACACATTTTAAGGTTTGCAGATACAGGTTTTGGTTGCAGATTGGCTTCTGGCTATCATTTACAATAGAAACATATTAATAAAAAGATGAAAGAAAATAGATTTTAAAAGACTTTAATAGAATGAGGAACAATATTAAAAACAGAAAAAACTATTAAGATTATTTTAGCGTCTACTAAAAACAGAGCTCCGTGAATATGTGTGTGCTCTACCTATTTAGGAGCATTTCTGGTGTACATGTCAAGACTAGTAGTCCTTATGGGGACCTAATATGGTGGAAYTCCATTTTTGGTTTGGGGTTAGGTTTAGGAGTTGAGTTTAGTATTACTTTAGGGTTAGGTGCTGTGGGGGTTTGGTTTTGAGTTCAGGGTTAAGCAATAGAAACAACTGGAAATCAATGGAAGTCAATTAAGATAGATATACAAACTTGTGTGTGCATGCATGCTTTGGTAAGAAGTACAGATAAAATCAAAACCACAAGTTTTACACAGTTATAGTTTTACTCATTTCCTAAGGTGGATTTGTTAAATAATTTTTTGACATTTTTCAAAACAATGTGTACAAATAACACACTGTGGATTACCTGCAAAACTCAGTTTCTTGTTCATAATGCTTAGTTCATCTCTCAAAACTAAATGTTTGAGTGAGCAAACATATCAGTACCATCAGAATGTCAGGCCTTTGTGTCATTTTGTACARATAAGACTCACATTGATTTGTCATGTTTTCAATATAACAGTGTAGCTGTTCTGATAAAACTATGACTGCATCTTTGTTGTAATTGTGGGGGATTGACTGGATAGGATTCACATTTCCGCTTTTACTGTTTGTGCTGCAATTTGTTGACAGAGCATGTCATTGTGATACAGAAGGAAATTTTGTGACCTATTAACTGAAATTTAGATCCAGTCTTACATTTTATAATTTGTGATTGGTTGCAGTCATTTATTTTAAACTACAAAAGGATCTACAAGGAAAAAACAGCACTGCAGCACAAAAAAAGTCGTAGAAATATTAACATGTTGTTGGACAATCTTTTTAAAGGCCCAATATTGTTTCTCAGGCATATAGTTCAATTTTATACCATCAGTTGTTATTAAAATGCTGTTTATATGTGTTTATCAAAAATAAACTTGATTTCACATCACAGCCATTTTTAAGCRCCTTAAAATTGGCCTCTGTCTCTTTAAGAACCTTCTACAACTTTCCCCACGCCATTTCTGCACGTCATCATAACAACGTTGGATTTTGTTGCAATAATAATTTTAAAAAAGCAGCAACATTATACAATGTACAAAGGATACAATTGAACCTTACTATTTGACCAATCGCACGTTAGGCACAGAAAGTACGTTATCTGAAGAACCGGAGCAAGTAGAGAGTAATGATTAATGTGTAATGGTTGTAATATAAGTTACAACCCTTGATCACAGATAGGAACAAAACAGCGAGTTTCAGCTTACCTGGGCAGACAACAGCAGTGTTTGTGTACTTCTGAGGTTTGGAACTGCATCATCTTTTAGTGATAAGCTTATTATTAGTCCACTGTTAAATTCCCTTTTGTTCAGAGAGCTATCATCAGTGAAGTGGCTTGCACAAATGCAAAGTTTTTTTTATTATTTTCGTCGGAGGGTTACTTTCAAAACTGAAGTCCAACCGTTTTTTAAGAACAGCATCAACCATGGGAAAGAGGGTAGTCTCCTTGGCATCTGACAATRCATTTCCTCAAAGGTATTTTTTTGCGTCACTTTAGTGGAAAATGAAACCAAATATTAGTTTATTAGATGCGGTTTCACCAGTTGTTTGCTAGTTGTTGCTGCCGATAGCCTGCAGGAGTAGTGGGGAAGATGATGCAGAATCTCGACTTGGAGACACAGCCCAGAGGAGGAGCTGATCCCAAAAGGCGGTTCTAGGCCCAACTGGTTGGTTTTGCTCCCCCGCCTGGCTGTCTCAGGACAGCAGTGTTTCTTAAACATGCATGACTGAGTCAAATCAAGACTCTGGGAATGTTTTTGATGAAAGGATAACATTATAACATGATATAAAACTCCAAAAAGTTGATTTTACATGACGTTGCTTCTTTAAGGAAAACTGTACACATGCTTTATTTAGGAGTTACAGAGAAGTCTTCCTTCACCTCCTGATGTTCTTATCTTTTGGGCCACAAATTCTCATCCACAACACAACAAATATATTCTCTTGCGATGCAGCGTGAAGAATCTTTTAGCGTCTTATCCAGCCTCTGCGGACATCATCTTTGATGTCATCGCAACTGAAGGGTCACCTATTTATGCTGTAAATTAAAGAGCAGTCACAACATGAGTGAAGTCCTGATCTGAACATCAGAAGCAAAACATGTCGACCTAAAAAAAGCAGAAATGGAAACAAAATAAAAATTTAAATTATTAAGACTGGTGATGTTCTAAAGAAAAAACATGGTCTTGAAGATTTTTAAATGATTATTATGTTTTTACAATAAACTCTTTAATACGCTGCTCAAAAAATAAAGGGAACACTTAAACAACGCACGCTAACTCCAAGTAAATCAAACTTTTGTGAAGCACATTCATCTCTGTACAGAACAAAGTACTCAATGCGAACATTTCATTGATTAAGATCGGGAGTTAGCGTGCGTTGTTTAAGTGTTCCCTTTATTTTTTTGAGCAGTGTATATACATTGTGAGTAAGTTTTCTGTTTCCAGGATGAGCTCTGACTTGTTAGAGACCCTTACGCCCTGATAATCAGGAATGTCTGTGACTGAATTTTCCGTATGAAAGGATATGTTGAAAGTGTTTCCTGTGCAAGTTGTTGGTCATTCTTTGGAATTCCCCTGAAATCAGCATCTCTCACTCATTCACGTGTTCTAAGAGGAGGGAAAAAGAAAAGTAGATGATGGCAAAAAAAAGGTGCTGCTTCTGCTTTTTGGGGCCATAAGTAGAGACAATCTTCAGACGGTCGTCAGTTCAGCAAGTTCTCTGGAGAGGAAGAGTGACCGACGCAGGAGAAACATACTTTTTTGTATTTAACCTCGTATTTATTAAGAATGAAAATGTTGAGCTGTGGAAGCCTGATGAAAAGTGTGCTGGTCGCCGTCATCTTGGTTGTTACTTCTGGACATTCAGGTAAGATTGAGCTTCACTGACATAAAGCACATTTTTTTTCATTTACAAAATATTTGAAACTGTGTGTTTTTCCTCAGATGAAAAGTTGGCTTCTTGTTGTAAGAAAGTCACCAAAACTGAGATCACAGAACCAATTCTGGGATACTTGGTCCAGAAAGCGAATCCTCCATGTGTCCAAGCAGTTATGTAAGTGAGAATATTTTTAAATAATCTGCATGTGTTGGAAAAGAAACAAAGGAAGTGTTRTGCGTATTTTTACAGAATTTTAAAAAGTAAAGAAAAGAAGCTCACTGGACAATATTTGGAAATGTTTTATAACAGTTTAGAAATATTTTGTGTTTTGTTTAAAAAATCTTTATTTTCTGCAGCTTTCAGACAGAAAATGCTCTTTACTGCAGTCAGCTGAGCGCTCCCTGGGTTCTCCGCAAAATCAAAGAACTAAGGTGAGTCTATCATTTTTCAGAACCTCAGATCATCGTTTTATCCTTTGAGGTTTTTAAATGTTTGTTGAATTTTTAACCTCAAACTTAAAATCTTTTTACTATTTCCCCAGCAGGAGATCAAGGGCTCAGAYAACAACTTCTCCTGTGTTCAGATCATCATCAGCCTCCCTCCTCTCCGTCATAACCTCCACCGCCTCCTCTCCATCCTCCACCATGGCCTCCTCTCCTTCATCCTCTGTGGCCTCCTCCCCTTCATCCTCCACCCTGTTTCCTTCCTCCTCTCCTCCTCCCTCCTCTGCCTCCACAGCTGATGGGAGTTTTTCAGGAAGCGGTGAGGAGTGGACCTTCGCCTCCTCCACCAGCAGCTGATAAAACAAGCAGCGACGTGAACATCTGTTAAATTTGACATTTGGTTGGGAACTTGCAGAACGCACTGATACTAAATATTTGTTTTTAAGTTAAATTTCTAGTCTCTTTCAATTTTGGTTAAGTTATTTTTTATTTATTTATCAAATCTAATTTAGTTGTTCTGATGTGGTGGAATTTTATTTTAATTGCTGTATTTATAAAATGTACATGCAAAGTGAGACGTTTAACACATGCTGATAGCATGAAATGGTTTTGAAGATGTTTTTGTCTGCTGGAAAGACATTTTTATTGTTAATTTGAGGCTGTGTCAACTTCAAGGTTTAATTTATTAATAAACAGTTCTTGTTTAACATTATTTTGTGTTTTTTGTTCATGTAAAATAAATCCATTTTCAACCATAAAAATGGCCAAGTGCAGCTAAAATTTGTGCATGAAGTCTCGTTTTACATCTGTTTTAGATAACGAATTTTAATTAGTTATTGTAATAATTCTGGCACGTTGCATTGCTGAAATGTTGATGATCGTGCATTAACCTTTAAATAAAGAAATGAAACGAATGAAACCGTTTTACAACCTCAAAAACAGGAAGTGAAAACAGGCAGGGAAACTGATTTTATTTTTATTTTAAGTCCAAATGTTTTCAGGCAAGGGGACGGGGTCCTGAGGAGGGAATGAGACCAAATGTTTCAAACAATCAGCTATACAGAGGACACATTAAAAACCAGTGGAACAGGCCATTTATTCCCCCTGTACACACTAGAACTGGGGTTAAGGGGCCTAGGCCAGATTACACTGCAGGTATATTCCAACCTATYCACCAATTTATACCCCTCAAGCCAGATTACACCACATGATATCAGTAGTTTTGAGTCATACGTACATAAGAATGACTCAATTCTCAACATTTTATTGGGGAAACAGCTTTAAGCAACAGCAGCATGAGTTTGGTAAACCAATTCCCCTAAAGCCAGATTATGGGTATAGAGATGGGTATAGTTTGGCCTGAGGGGTGGGTTTCTCTGGTCTCGTCTATTTTACAGCTCATTTTAGCCACTAGGACGTGTTTTATTTGGGATATACTCTAGCCTSGCCCAAACTATGCCCAGTTTTAATCTGAGCAAGGGTTAATCTGGCCTGCTACACCTGGCAGGTGAGACACTCAGGTGGATGGACCATCTTGACTGGTCAGATTGACTGGGAGGGCTCTTGGTGTGAACTGATCGTCTCTCTTCAGGACAGGAACAGGAAGTTGGGGAAGGGTCAGCTGGTTTACAGGGTGTCGACTCATTCAGGCTGACCTTTAACCWTGTTAGTGGGAGTTCATCTCAACTCATTTGACTCCATATATACTAATATTGCTGTATTTTTTTTTTCAATGTTTCCATTTCAAATCTAGGCCCTGAATGCCCTGTCAGAACCACCATATTTGTAATAATGGTCTGCTTATCTTCATTTTAAGTGGGATTAAATAAATAACTTGTCAACATTTAGGCAGTAGACAAGGTGGGTGAAGAGACCTGTAGCAGACGACTTCTTTTATTAGAGTCCAAAACGTGAGCCCATTGGACAGTGGACAAATGATGTTCATGACACAAGCAGACAGCAGTAAAAGATGAAAACTCTCTGAAGAGKTATAACCCCGCCCACAGACTGATTTGTAGGCACCTTGTTAGCAACAAACATAAATCAACACTGAGTAACTATTTCCAGCTTYGTCAACAATGAGTAAAATATCATGAAATCCAGGTATGACCAACAGTTGTCCTCTTTATAATGAGGAACCATCTTTAAAGGGAACACATCATGCAGTATACACTTTWTCAGCCATTAAATGTATTTTGTTGTGTTGAAGTCTCTAAAAGTTCAGAAAATTAGAATTTATTCTCTCCTGCTKCTGCAAATGTATCTTTATATTCTGATTGGGTCATATTTTTCAACTCATTTAATTTTCTTTATTCTCTATTAAGTTTTTGGAACTATTACATCACAGTATTTGCAATGGAACATCTAAATAAGGTCTGGATTTACCAACTACAATTTGGTCATCTTCACCCTCCTCTGGCTCTGGGTCAGACTCTGGTTCCAGCATGTGAGGCTGGATGAACAAGTCTTCCCTTGTTGACATCTTTTAATTAATTTGTAAATAAAAAGTTTCTGTTGTAAACCCTCAAACTAGACTAGATCACTCTGGAAGCTGGAGGGGGGCGAGGTGTGGACTTAAAGAGACAGCCTCAAAATGAGCTGATCTGAGACACACCTCAGAAAAGGGGTGAAAGAGGGCCTTGTAGAGTTGCAATAAGGAGGAATTCAGACCAAAACTTTTATTTCCCCTTGTTATGGACTCCAACTGAATGATTTAAATGTGAAAAAGAACAATTTAAAAGTCTCCTTTTAAAATCTATCTACAGTGACTTTTACATTATGAGTAATCCTCCAGTTGATACTGTGTGATGAGCTGAACTGATGAAGTGTAAGAGTTCASACGTCAGCACTGCGRTMCTTCAKTGTGTTTCTGGGTGGGAAAGTATTRTGAAAAATATCACTTCTTCTTTTATAAATTCAAGTTYTGACACCAGCTTTAGGGATCCTCACACCCCAACACTGAGGCATGACAAACAGTTTGATGAATGTTTTTTTTCATGTTGTTCATTCTGCGGACTCATTCTCAGGTTGTTGAGTAATTTGCTCAGACGTTTGAAGAGGCAGAACACTTCTGCTTTTTAGTTGTTAAAATAAGGCTGCCGTCTGTCATTTGTCAGATCAACAAGGGAGGACAGGAAATTGCAACCTAACAGAGAATATTTCCTCAATAATTCAGGGTCAAATTTATTGTCTAAAAATGATCGACTGTGGAAACCTGCTGAGAATCGCACTGGTCACTGCTGTCCTGTCGCTCGCATCTGGACTCCCAGGTAAGATAAAACTCAAGGTAAAAAAAAATTATAGAATATTTTACACATTCTAGATTCAAATTTATGACACTGGTCCTTTTCAGATGAGAAGTTGACTACCTGTTGTGAGAAAGTCAGCTCTAAGGAGATCACCGAGCCAATMCTGAAGTTTGAGGTCCAGAAAGCCAGTGGTTCCTGTGTCACTGCAGTCATGTAAGTAAAAACAACCCCTCTAAACACAATGAAGGTGTTTAAAATGTAAAACAGCCACAGCGTAACAGTTAATAAACACAGTTAAACAGTTTRAACTGTTCTGAAAAGTCCAAGATACAGACAGAAAATATTCATTTTTGTGAATGTATCATAAATAAAGTATCAATAAAATATTTGTGATTATACAACAAAGAAATGTTCATTTGTTGACTGGTTGTTATTCCTGCAGCTTTCACACAAAGACGGGTYGTTACTGCAGTCAGCTGAACGCTCGCTGGGTTCATCAGAAGATCAGAGAACTGAGGTGAGACCAACACCACTGTCCACTCTCAGAAAGTCCAACCTTTTATTAAACTTTGACTGATGTTTCCTAAATAAAGTATGCCTGAGCC